AAAAAAAAAAAACACGAAAAAATAAAGTAAAGATGGGACACTCTTGTGTTCCTAGTGGTCGTTTTTGGCGCGCTGGCTAGCAAAATGGCTTTTATTATACAGCGTTTTTGTACGAAGCGCAGTTAAACATACTTGAGTGCACAATCGAGTGTTGGCAGTAGGTTGGTCCGTGGAACCTAGCAATTGGAGGACGTTTCGTTTAATCGAAGAGGATTTGTTTGTTGGAACTGAGAATGTATCATTGAGCCGCCTGACGAAGTCGAAGGAGTGGGACGATACGAAAACTGGACCCTGAATGAAGAAAAGGGGTTTATGTAAATGTTGTATCCTGCCCAGGAAAGGATTTCGTACCAGCCTCCCCTTTGTATTGGCTGCCATCTGGCTTCAACAACAAAGCATTATTAAGTGAGTTACAGTATTATGTCTAGACGCTTCACTCTTACAAAGGGTGATTAACGGGTGTATAAAACAGACAAGAAAGGGGGGGGGGGACCATATGGTGGTAAATTTTGGGTTATGAATGGAAAAATTGAAAAGGAAATCAGAGATCAAAATTTAATATTTAAAATTAGCAGCTCATATTTACAATAATCAAAATTACGAAAATTAGTAGATTTATGATATGCAGGATTTAAAATCGGAAAATTGAAAAAGCGAAAAGGAATAGTGGATGAGATGGAGCTTAATAATTGTAATTTATAAAAAGGTACGAGTAAAATATACCAATATGCCTATTCGTTCTCATCCTCTGAAGCACTGCTGTCTTCTTGATGAGGATATTTTTCAATCATTCTACATCAAAACGAAGAGCTTGACCGGTCGTATGTTGATGAGTAACGTAGACGGATAATGGCTGTATAGGATGCAGGCAGATGAGGGAATCATTCATGACTCTCTGTGAAGCTGTCTGAATTTAGGTTCTTTGTGTAATGTGAAAGGCAGAAGCAGTTAAAATTGGCTGCTGGTGTTTCAGGTTTAAAAGTAGCAGCAGCATATATCGCGGTGTTTTAGGTTTTGGTGTGGATGAGTCGCCACGCGAGCACGTCAAACTACGTCAGCAGAAGGTGGATCCACGCCTAGTGCTGAACAATGGCTTGGGCCATCAGCATCACGCCGATTACAATCGACGCTCGCAGCGGCCACTTTCTCATCATCAAACGGTATGCAGCAGTACATTTTCTTTTTTTTTTTTCATTTTTATGAATTATCAATATTTGTCTTTGCATTATTTTCCGTCTTTTCCTTGCTCTCTTTTCTTTCCCTCTTTTTTTCATGCTGTTAGTTTTCGGTTTTGTTTCGGCTCGTTCTTCTTTCGTTCTTTAAGGGGAGAAATGCTCGCCGTAATGCTTTTGTGATTTCTATTGGCTCACCTCCCTCGGACGACGTTGCAACCCGTTCGGCCCATTTTTGTCTTGCTCCGCATTACTCTCTTCTCATTTACTGCTTTTCGCTGTCACTGTAGTTACACGTGCT